TTATAATATACTGTGCAATCACATACTAAGAGTTTTTACTCAGTTCAAAATTAAAGTGCAATATTTGCTTTCGCTGCTTGTTACTTCTTGAAGAAAGTGTTGTTTTTGGTTTATACATTTTTGCACTTTATTTTGTTGTTTTTCAATCCAATTATGTTTTAAAAATATTTTATTCGAGTAAATGATCGAAAATTACTGCACTATTATTTGTTTTTCTTTTAAGTAAATTTAGCCTACTTTTGCTAAAAGAGAAAATATGGACTATTGATAGTGCCTTGAATAATATCGGCTTCTTTCATTCATGTTATGGGTATTTTTATACAAAGGAAATTTTTTTGTGCCTGTTGAAAATTAAAGTTTACTGACATAGCCATAAAAAAATGTTGCTTTATTTATCTGACCGTATTGGAATGTATTTGTTAGGTTTTCAGTCAATTAAATTTGGTTCAATAAACAATATGTGGTTATTTTTAAAATTTTCAATGAACATTCGATCAGTCCGGCCCTCGGCTTGCAGCAAAAATTTTTATCTGGCCCTCCGTCCATTTGACTTTGACACCCCTGCTTTAAGTTGTCCCGAGGTGTGATTGTGAGCGCGGATGGTTGTTCGTCTATGTGTGCCCTGCGATTGGCTGGCAACCGGTTCAGGGTGTCCCCCACCTACTGCCCGAAGATGGCTGGGATAGGCTCCAGCAAGCCCCGCGTTCCTTGTGAGGATAAGGTGGATCGGAAAATGGATGGATGGATAATATCAGTACAGCACAATCAAAGTTAATCAACAAGGAAAGCACATTTTTTGTGGAGACTTCCTTTTTTTTCTTGCAATGGCAAGTTATCAAAATGTGTATTGTACTACTTGTAAGTTAATAGTGAATAGTTTTTCCATTCTGTGAGTGCTGTGCTTCTACACAACATTTACTAGAAATGTTACATTAAGGTTAGGTAAAGAGGTGATCTGTTTTAGGCAAAGATTGCAATAGTGTCATGCAAAAAGATGATAGCACGTTCGAGCCAATAAAACAAGACAGAAGGTGTACACTGGGTAATTACATAAAGGCTTGATGTTAAATTAACCATCATGGTGCTTCATTTAGTTAATTCACAGAAACAGAACTGACTAAATAGCTCTTTGATCACTCCCTTACACACACAAATGTGCACATTTGACACGGTTTGCATTTTACATTGCAAACCATTACACGCTCAATTCTGGTCGAAAATGAGCTCCACTTTCTGCTTGCTTGCATCTTAAGAGCGTCAATTTCAGAATCACCATCTCTCCACGTGTTGTTAATTTTTATTCTATATAAAGTGGCCACTCAAACTGACAGACTCTACGGGCTCTATAGTCATAGACAGCGCAGCTGAGTATATATTACTTCGTTATCGCCGTGTATTTCTACGTGAGTATTTTTGCCGTGAATAAGTAAATAATTCATACAGAATGAAAAATAGAATGGTCCAAGTGTTCAGCCTTGCGGGACCCCGACTGGACACTCAAGGTAGGCACCATTGACCGCAACACACGGTTTTCAATTATTGAGATGCGATTTCATCTAGTTAAAAGCTTGCTTGCTCTAAAAAATTAATTTAGTTAATTTTGTCAAACGAATGTTATGGTCAAAAGCATTAAATAATTTTGTAAGATTCAAGACATATTTTTTGCTTTTCAAAACAATAAATAAATAAAACATACAAAAATCCTGGGCATTAGGGAGTGCATTTCCACAGTCCAGCTCCCAAATTCATAACACTTGCTTATCCTTGTTTTATATGGTTGGCTGACATGTATTTGCATGTTTTTTCTAGTTTACGCTCCCTGATTGTTTCCGCCACTTTTAAACAGTCAGACTCCCAAATGACTCCCCTGTAACAGCTACAGTATGATGTTGACCACTGTCTGTCGCAATGAAGCGACGTCTGATAAAAGAGCGACATATCAAACCATCTCAATGCTGAGTTTGAGTTGCCGCTGGTACTGCTATTAAAGTTTTAACTTATTATACTATTGGCACTTTTTTTTTTGTTTTTCTTGTTACAGTGAGCTAATTCCTTCAGGGTTTCCCAATAAAATGCCCAGTGAATGTCAGTGTTAGATGACCGTAAGTTTATTGGGCCTTCTAATCTGTTAACCCCTCATTTATGATACAAGATTGTGTGAAAATACCTACCTTTCTCCACTGGCTGAATACACACACACACACACACACACACACACACACACACACACACGCATACATATTATCTGGTGCATCTCAAAATACCAGCAGGGCTTTCGTTGGAATTAGTTGAAAGCATCTGTGATGACCCGGTGGCTTATTGAACAAACACATGGCATACAATCTGACATTTTTTGTCTATCGCAAAACACGATTACAAAAGGAAGATGATGTTCAAATAATACAGAGAGGGGAATAAAAAGATGTCCTGAAGTGCAAAGGATGTTACTTTCATGTCTTAAAATGCACAACATGAATGATTCAACATAATGTGCCGAAGCTGTCAAAACTTGGAGCACAAGTTTCTTGAAGTGTAGATCTCATGAGGGGTATTTAACGCAGCCAAGCATTGAGCACTGGAGGTCAACTTGGATCGTGAGAAGAAAAATGGCTGCAGATGGGTGTCATTCTGGAGGATGATGGGGAGGGAATAGGAGCAAAAGGTAGCCAGGGTGGAGAGACACGCACTAGTGAAGGAGATGAGTCCTTGCTGTGTGCAGAAAGCCTTTTAGGCCTCATTCTCGCTTGAGTGTACAGAGGCTTTTAAATGAGTGAGAAAAAGTTGAGGTCAATGCATTGGATGAGGCAACTTTCACTGTCTTTAACATGAATGCAGTTTGAGTGACAACAACTTTCCCAGTGTGATCAGACTTTGTGTCAAGCAGGGTCACACCAGTGTATTGAGACGAGCTCAAGAACGATTCACCGACATCCACAGTTGACAGATTCCACGTCGGCCTTTCTCACCCATCTCTTACCAACTCGCAAAGAGCAGGCGAAAAAGAAATTGCACAAATTTCCCTTGAGAAACACTCATGCTAAAAATAGATTCTTTCAACGATGTAACAATCATTCCAATCTATATAATTCCAAATGTTTGCCACTGTTCTGCAACTTATTTATTCAATATATTAGAGCAGGCTGAAGGTCGTATTCTTCTCTCTGGGGGTTTAGAGCGTGTCTTTGACCTTAAAACATTAAAACCAGACTTTAGGAGTAGCATTTGGTTGGAAAACGGGTGTAAATATGTTGAAATGAATCGAATGGCATGCTCTCCAAGTTAAATGTAGCGTTCATAAATCGGGCAGATAATGACAGCTGTTTATGAGGTATTTTCAACACATTTGTCTGTGATTCACTTGGTGCTTAGCCATGCCCCTTCTGTTCTGTGTTCTGCTCTATAAATGTTCTGGTGATATAATCCTTGTTAGCGTGCAGCTACATACACCACATGCACGCACACACACACACACACACACACACACACACACACACACACACACACACACATACACACACACACACTATACTATTGTTGTGTTGCACAGTTCACTGACTGGCGCGTCAGTCGTGCATTGAAATACTGTTCACAAACAGGGCCTCGTCCAAATGTATTAAAATTTAAAGTGGACTCGAAATGACACATTTGAAGAGCCACATTTTTCAACTTTTATACCATATATAATCAAATATATTATCATATAGCCTTTCATTTTACTTGAATGTCCCTAGATTGTGTCCTGACAAATTCAATGCACGTGTTCGGTGACTGTGAATGTGAGTGTGAAATGTTGTCTGTCTGTGACTGATGAATGGATCACCTACTGGCAGAATAGAAATCAGAGTTGACTGGATTGCTCTTACATTGCATTTATTCTGTTGTGCATTCTTAAAATACTGAAGACGAGATGACAAGAATCTTTTCACTAAAATTCTGCACTGACTACATTGAAATATTTTCAAGTATTACATTTCATAATCGGGTGGCCCGGTGGGCGGATGGTTGATGAGTCTGCCTCACAGTGCAGAGGTGCAGGATTCGATTCCGGCTCCAGCCTTCTTGTGTGGAGTTTGCATGTTCTCCCAGTGCCTGTGTGGGTTTTCTCCGAGTACTCCGATTTCCTCCCACATTCCAAAATCATGCATGGAACACTCGAAATTGGTCATTGGTGGGAGTGTGACCACGGAGGGTTGTTCGTTGATGTGTGCCCTGCAATTGACTGGCAAAATTTCATAATCAGTTGCTGATGGTGTAGTGGTACTCTTGCCTGACTTGTGTGCGGGCAGCCTGGGATCGGTCCCCACTCAGTGACGGTGTGGGTATGGATGTGAATGGTCATTTGTCTCTGTATATACCCTGCGACTGACTGGCAACCAGTTCGGGTTGTTGTGTGCCTTCCACCCGAAGTCAGCTGGGATAGGCCGCAGCAATTCCCCACTGCTCAGGATAAGCGGTGTTGAAAATGGATGGATGGATGGATGGATGGACATTTCATAATTCAAACAAAAAAGGTCACACCACTGCCTTGACACTTTTACCAGAATTGGCAAATGTGTGGCAGCAGGTTCATTTGGAACACACACACACACACACACACGCACACGCGCGCCCGCACGCCCACGCGCACACACACACACACACACACACACACACACACACACACACACACACACACACACACGCACACACATACGCACACACACACACACACATACACGCACACACGCACGCACACACACGTACGCACGCACACACACATGCACGTACGCATACACACACACACACACACACACGTACGCACGCACACACACACACACACACACACACATTTAGAATACTGACAATATCAGTGTGGCTTGGATTATTTCGTGATAACCAATTTTATGTATCAGTATCATTAATAAAACATCAACTAATTTAGCTATTTGTGAATTATTCATTTCCATAGTGAAGCGGACATATACTGTCTGTGTATGTCATTTTTAAAATCTAAAATACTTTATCATTTTATGATGTTGATGAAGAACAAAATAAAAGCACACCTTCCATCCCATTGGATCTGCATGCAATAAAGAATTATGTGCAGAAGATGGTAAAACATAAAAGGGCCATCTGCCACATGGCATAGATGAGATACCTGGTACCATTGTATCAGTACCCTTGCAAATGCACTGATATGGCACCACATAATTACCCTATCCATGCTCCGCTGAGTATTTATATGTCAGATGCAGGCCGTCAGCCTCAGTCACAGACACAGATAAATAAAACCCTGCCCTTACTTAATTGCACACCATCAGTTCTCGTTTCGTCTCACTTTTCCCTCAGTTTAATTCTACAGTTCAACCACAAAAGACTGTTTTTTTTTGTGTTTTTTCAAAACCACCCATCATTTATTTAGGAATGGGCAAAAGAATAGATTAATTTATTGATACGAATGAAGTCTTTAGAGGTGAAGCAATTGAGGTAAAATGGAACGCTGAATGAACCACGACCACCAGAGGCGCTGTTTATTTACTCCCAACTAGTTTGTGGTATCAAGAAGGGGTCCAGAATTAATTCTAGAATCAATTTTCGATACTGCTTGCTTTCTTTAGGGCTGTGGGCAGGCTGGAGCCTCTCCCAACTGACTTTAGAAGACGGCTGATGTTGGAGGAAGCTGGAGTGCCCAGACAAAATCTCATACAAGCATGGTGAGAACATACAAGCCAAGATTTGAACCCAGAACCTCTCGACTGTGAAGCAGATGGGCTTACAAGAACTTCATTGTACTGTGAGTACCATGAGAACATAAATTCCAAAACAAGACAAGAAGGTGATATCGGAGCAGGCTCCCCCACCCCACTCCGACCCCCAACTGCCCGCCCTCATTAGCTGCAAAGAGGGAATTAGATCCTGTAATCTGTATGTAGTTTCCTGAAATCACGACATCAAAACAACATTTGCATTCATCCAAATTCATTTGCCTTCTGTGCATTTCATTTTTGATGGCCTAGTTAACACCAATTATTTAGCTTTCTCCAGAAAAGAATAACGTATGTATTTTCTACAGCTTGCACATCAGCAATTGGTGACTTACACTCATATATGCAGGATACGGTACTTTAATGGACAAGAGCAACATTTTTTCTGACTTCTCGCAACTTAAAGAAAGCTCATGCTATGTAGTCATCACTCTCTGAAGGTATCTAAAGCATTGGGGCAACTGGCAAATCCTACTTACCTTGTGTCACCAAACCCCCGAGAAGAAGCAGCCAAGTCCATTTTACAGCTCGATGCATGTCTCATCTGTTTGTTTGTTGATGTTGTTTGTTGTTATGTCGCTGTCCTTCACCTTTCTGAGGGAATCAGTCGAGTTCAAACGTGATTTGAGAAGTGGCACTGTGCTCGCGTCTCTCGTCCAGGAGCGTTGGTGTGGATTTGCCGGGTCGCTCCTTCCTGATCCAAACTTGACTGCACTCGTCCCTCCTCCTCTTCTTCCTCCTCCCCCTCCCCATTCTCCTCCGGTCTGCTGCATCCCTGCGACTCACTCCACGCACGCACACACAGGCACACACTTGCAAGGAAAAAACAAAACAAAACAACACCTTAATGCTAAGCCGGTGCAATCACAGCATTTTAATAATACTAATTAAATAGTTTCCAGGTTTCAGTGTACAAAGAAAACATTTCAAAATGCCTAAAATTCGTATTATGACATTCATGAAATAAAAGTAGGTTGTGTCCTCAATGTTACTTTGTGCTTTTATTTATTTTGTATGCGTATATATATATATATATATATATATATATATATATATATATATATATACTGTATGTACTTTAAATTGATGGTAAATGCAGAGAGCAAATTGTACATTGCACAACAAAATTAGATATGAGAATTGTACCCAAAAGTCTGACAAAATATTGATGTGTATTACAAAAAATTGCATATATTGTATTTGCAGAGCTCTTAATGTGTTTATTTTGGCTGGAGTTTGCAAAGGTGTGCAAATGCACTGCATCTTACGTGTGTTCCTATTATTTGGATTGTATAGTTTCATGAGATGGTCAGTTGGCTCTTCAATTTTGTACAAACCTCTGCAGTGAGAGCAAAGTTATGGTTAACGCCTTGCTGTCAAGTTTTCACGCTATCTCCTTAGCTGATCGTTTGATTCCCCCTTTCAGATCAGGCTGATTAAATTTAACCTGGGACTGGATTTGCAGTGCTTGGTTTGACGTCATCCAATTAATCAGGTGCCCACAGTCAGGTTGATGTCCTTCCAGTGACTGGTGAGAAAACAAGTAACAAAAAGGACTCAACTGGATTTTTTTTTAACTCCAGCTTCTTTCATTCTTAAGGAGGCCACACTCACAAATCAAAACATAATAAAGCTTGCAAAACTAAATGACTACCGGTACATTAGCACACACACACACGGAAAATGATGTATATATGTATATATATATAGAGAGAGAGAGAGAGAGAGAGAGAGAGAGAGAGAGAGAGAGAGAGAGAGACCCCCCCTTTGTTATTTCAATGTACATTTGAAGCATGCGGACTTCAACATAGATATCTCTAAATAGAGCCTTCATTCTGAATGACTGATGTGACAAACAGGAAGTCTCTAAAGCTCCGATTATAAAATGCCAATTTGTATCATAGCTGAAAGGTCAACAAACCAATCTGCATCAAAAGAATTCAATGATTTATAATTAACTTATTGGAACTAAACACACGGCTATATGCGCGTCATCAACCAGCCAAGGCTTGCTCTCGCAAACATCTCTGCGCTGCCCCATTACTGGGCCGCAACGAGCTGTGCCCCAGTATCAGATGTAAAATTTAAATTGAATTCATTTGTGTCAGGTGAAATTATCTGATACATGTTGTAGAAAGAATCACCTGGATATTTACACATTTTTGTGTACATATATTGCTAAGTAAGGACTGACCTTAGCCACAACATTAAGTACACTTCAGCCTTGAAATGAAATCTACTCAGAAAACTGATAAAATTCTGGTTTTACACAATAACAATGTTGTGCTTCGATTGAGATGATGTTTTCTAATTCAAAATATGCCTTGCTATTTGGGGTCATTTTCAAAGATGTTTCTACGCTTAGCTTTTGCAGTTTTGTGACAAGTGCCATTCTTCACTTCTGTCAACTTTTTGTAGAGCGAGGATTAGACAGAATGTAGGCCAAAAAGTGGAGAATAACATAGGATAAGGCAGGTGTTGTGGCAGGTGACTTTATTTGCACTCCATATCGAACCCAGATAAACACAATTCAACTTCCAGCGAGCATGTTAGTTGAATCACATCAAAATAATCAATCAATCTGTTTCCTCACTTTCTTTTTAGCACAGTCTGTCAGTGTTTCCCCGCACACAAGAACAACAAAGGACATACAAAAATTATAATAAATTAAGAGAATGAATGAAAGGCATAATGAAAAGCTATAATGTGGTTTTGTTGTTGCTGGTGACGATGACATCGGACCTCAGTGCGAAGCGTGACGACATACTTGCCTTTGCCTGTCTTATCAGTGAGGACGCTTCAAGGAAGAACTAGGTGAGAGTCAGTGTTTCTGCCAGGGCTGTTTAGCGTGACGCACCATAGCCTGCCCCTCTGCTCTGCATCGCCACATGTTTAATTCATGTTTCTTTTTTGTAAAGGCTGGCTGCACACACTCCAAAAGCCATTAAGATCACATTTTCTCCACTCCCTAGTGTCACAGTAACTCTTCAGTCCATCTCATCCAACAATCTCCCCTTGTCATTCATTTAACATCTTTTTTTTTTAATTTCATACGTCTTTCATCCTATACTTCCTGCCATCCTGCCTTCTCCTTTCACCTCACGTAAAGGGCCGTTCTCCCCTTTGCACCTGCTTTCATTCATCCGTCGTCCGCTAGTGCCATCTTTCTGCCTCAAGTGAAACATAACACATAACAATATCTGCTTCCCCGCAAGAACTTTTAGACTCTCTTGAATTATTCACACGCACATATCTGCAGCACATTCCTGACCCCAAGATAAGTGCTTTTATTCTCAATCCCACGTAATAAAATCGGAATGTCCTTTTTTTACACTCCTTGGCCACATCGCCTCACTGGGGTGGGTTTAGTGGAACACAGATGATCAGCAGATTCGAGGCCATTCTACAAAGGATTGGGGTGGATACACAGTAGATCCATTGCTGCTGAGTCGAGGAACTCATATCAACTAGCCTTTTCTGTACGGTATATTTTAGTACCGGCTGCCGTTTACAACGCAAATCAAAGGAACTATATTATGTTCATTTGATACGTTGCAGTTGATGAACCCTTTCATGCACCCTGTAACCTGATAACATGATAAGATATCCACTGTAGTAACCGCTGTCCCTGAAAGGGTTAAATGTGACACAGAAAATAGTCATGCCCAAGAGTCATGATGGGTGCCAATCCTTGTCATTCCTTTGAAAATGACCCATTTTTTTTAATGAAACAACAAAGGGGGAAATAAAATGTATCATAGACCATGTTTTAAGAGGAAAACAGCTGTGCGGTTTAGTTTACACTAATGTTGCACATGGACTGAATTTAATACCAAACTCAAATAATTAAGGACGCCACACTCACAAATTGCTCTCGTATTAGTTCGCTCAGCTTTTGGTTTTGGCAAGTGCTTTTTGTTACTATTAGGATGTCACACTACAGGTATCTCTGATTCCAATCCGTTTTTTTTTTTTTTTTTTTTTTTTTTTTTTTTTTTTTTTTTTTTTTTTTTTGTGCTGACTGTCCACATAGTTTTTAGCCTATTTAGGATAAAAATCAGATTTTTGGCTGAACAAGGCCTTACCGTAGTTCCTTTTTTTAACTATTAGTTTCTTGCGTTTTTTTTTTTTAAGTGTGTTTTGGTCATTGTTCATTCCTTGCAGTTTGCAAGCATTTTTTTTTCTGATTTTGAACTTTTTCGTACATTTTGTATAAATACATCTGTACTAAACTTTACCCGGTGTCTACCTTTCTGGGATCTGCAACGTAACAGACAATACTTGCAATGTGCTGGAGTGAAAAGCGCTCTGACTGAGGCAACACAACTTTAATAATGATAAGACTGGGTAAGAGCAGCAAAGAAAAAAAAAATCATAATATTCCACTTGGAAAAAAGGATCTGTAGTATGTTTTAACACACAACAGTATGGGGGGGGGACACAACCATCATGTTAATGTTTTTAAAGAAATAAAGGCCGATTCTGGCTCAAACAATGTGTACATTTTTTGCATGAACTAATGTGTGTTGTGCACACCGGCAATAGACCTACATACACGGCCAATGATTTACAATCTGCTGTAGGTACCATTAGTTAAAACATGCAGAGCACACAGAAATGGAAGCTCTTTTTTTTTTTCCTAAAATAATCTCCCCAGTGGTGTTGAGGTTCACGTGGTTTGGTGCATGTAGCCCAAATGGCCTTTTTCATGCTGACGTTTGCTTCAAGAATACAATTTATCACATTTATTTTTGCTGCAAATTACATATAAAACTACTAGCTCACCGGTTTGCACAAATCCATCCATTTTGTGCTTTGCTGTTCAGATACAACAGAAACACACACACACACGCATACAAGCATGTCAGGCAAATCAGCATTTCGCAGGTGTCAATGTGTCACGAGTCAGAATAAAATTTTAAAAAATAAAACTTGCGGGTATAAATGAATAAAACTGGAATTTAGTCTGACAACACTGGTACTATTCATGCAATGGGAAGGAGTGTCTGAGACTTTCACAGTCTTAAGCCACAGTCAAAATAATGACTTAAACAAGCTGAAAACCTCTGTTAGTACATAAGTGCTGTCGAAGAGCGTCCCACTCATTCAAGTCAAGTGTTGGCTAGTTTCATTATTGATGTGGCAGCGAAAGGATAGGGTAATTAAAATTAGAGCAACAGTCAACACAGTTGTGACACGCTCGCATGCCTTCGTTACAAATCACATGAAATCAACATTCCGCCAGAGCAAGTATGTCGAAATGTGGTACGTTTGTGATTTATTGAACGTCATATCTTGCTTTATTTCACAGGAAAGACAAGTTGGATGTTTTGTGTTTCATGATTCGTGAATCTATTTGTCCCCGCAGGTAGTTTTGCCACATGGCATGCATGTCTTTGCAAGGTGATGCACTAGTGATCGCATGCTGTGGGCTGCTCATAGTTGTTTATCTAATATGACAACCTGACTCTGAACCGTCAAGGTTTGCATGCAATTGTAAAACACAAATACAAGTGACAGTTGAATACTGCAGAACTTTAGCTGATTTGACTGGTTGTTTTGGCACTTAAATGTGTCATAACCACTAAACCACGGGTGTCGAAGCCAAGGCCAGGGGGCCAGATCTGGCCCGCCACTTCATTTTATGTGGCTGGTGAAAGCAAATCAAGCATATCAACTTCCATGGTGCTTGCTAAAAGTCTGAACCAAAATTGTCATACGTAATCCATATGTTTGAACGAGCCATTATTCTTGACTTAACATTTTAAAACTAGTTAGTTGTTGGTCACGTTATGTGAGAG